GTCCTAGCTTAGTGGGCGGACTGTGCATGTTAATTAAAATACTTACATACCAAGGGACTCATAAAATAATATTTTGTAATATGAATTATGTATGCACATACATATAAGTATATATATATTCCCATAGTATTTTTAGTGGGCGATTATTTTATGGCAATATTAAACGTATGAAAGGATCGAAAAGCAATAATTTCGGAATGGTAAAATTGGGTTATTAATAGATGTTTATTAATTTTTTTTAAATAAATTTAAATTATTATTATATTTATGTAAGAAATTTTGGTATTATAAATTAATTATATATAATATATTAAACATTTAAATTATACTATAAAGTATTGCATATAAATTAATTCTAATTAATAAAATAAATTGAGGTTAGAAAAATTTATTTGGAAAAATTACCAAATCAATGTTAATTCGCCGTTGTAGGACGCTGAAAAAAAAGTACAACAAATTAAGCTGCCAGAACATGTGCAAGGACCTGCTTTTGTTGGTTTGCATGAGTCGTCCCAATACTAGTGTTCAATGTCAAAAAATTGTATGCAATTAAATTTACTTCGATGGCCTGTAAATTCTAAAGGCCAGGGTTTGAGTCTTGGTTTGATTACCGTCCAAAATTATAAGAAATTAATTTTTCTGTTTGCTGATGCCCTTCGGCAGGAGATGTCAATCCCTACCAGTGTATTTCTGACATGAAATAGAATCTCACCACAAAAATCCTTCAGTCGTTAAGAGGTCGTTTAGAATAAATTAAAGATTTCACCATTTGTCGAGAATAACATTAAGATGCAAACCAGATAAATCGAGATGAGAAGCTGGGGTACTTTTAGTGATCCGAGTGTGCCAATTGAACATAATTCTGATTAATATTGCTAACAAGTCTGTAGTGAAATTTCACGAAGCTCTACTTTAGACAAAAATGGTTCACAACGGTACTAAATTAACTTTAAACAAGAACGAAAAGCTGTCTTTGGTCAAGCTGAAGTCTTTATACCACCTTTCAGAATCACATTAAACGTTTTCAACGGTTTTTTGGCCAAAAACCGCCTATCTGAAAATATAGGTTGCATATGAGCTATGCAATACAGTTCTCCGAGTTTGATAATTTTTGGCTACAATTTGTAATCCATCATGGTTTTTGGGTGGTTTTTTTTGTCAATTTTCAGAGGGAAAGTCACAAATGTAAGAAAGCGGTCGTATATACGTATACTATAATGATCCGACCTTGCCGGTCCGACAAATTAAAATTGATCGTTTACATGCGGTGCGGATAATATCTCTACTAGTGTACTTGAATTTTGTGCTGAATTTCTATATATATTTATTATATTCAATGATTTACTAAAGCACAAATTTACACCCTTCTTTGTAGAAAGAGTCATATATTTTACCTCTACGTAAATCTGGTAATAGATCTCCTATGGGGAATTAGAGGGGGATTGTAAAGTTATGTTCTATCCCCAAAATTTTTATCAGTTATTGACATCTCACAACATGGGTTTTGTAAATGCAAATCCTCCCCAGCGAACCTGTTAGAATTCACCATCCATGTCAGTAATTGTTTCAAAAATGGTTATTAAACAGATATCATATACACTAATTTCAACAAAGAATTTGATAAGGTCCCCCATTCTTTACTTCACTTTGAACTCGATCATTTCGAAGTTTTATTTCTAATAAAATTGATCAGAGGCGTTATCAATAGCCAATTCCTACTTAGCGAGCTTGACTTTACTATCCCTTTAAAATCATCCAGAGACACTATTGGTCCCTTTCATTGTGCTCACGCAGAATCAACTTTGAAATGCATGATCCTTTTAGATCTTTGTGTTATGTTTTTAATACACATTTCCCCAACATTGATTCCTCTGACAGTATCAAAACCTCTCTACTGGATACATTAAATAGTTAAGTAAATTCCTTCTACTTTTACCCATGTAATTTAGAGCACCTGATGAAGAAATCTGTAGCTGTTTAGTGTAGTCTGTTGGATTTTTCGATTATCCCTCGCGCACCTCAGTTGGGCGGAAGGTGAGTATCGCTGGCTGCGTCGTGCACTTGTTTACAAAGTTCGGTTGAAATATCTCAGAAACTAAGGGGCACGGGTAAATCAGCTCAACTCATACTACGGATCAAAAATGCAGGTTTTATATTGGATGACTGTTTAAAATCAAATATTTAAGAAGAAGTGTACTGAACTTCGTCCAAATGGATCGAGACTAAATTGGTTTTCAGGTTTATGATTTCAGATGAGTGTAACAGTCGTGATTACGAACTAGGAAGCTGCCAATATATTTTTACGGAATCAAAATTTAATTAAGGATCTTTGCATTTACACTGCCTTCCAAAGATACCATTTTATGCTATAAATTAATAGAAAAAATGTTAAAAGACAGAACTCAATGTAGTTTAACAATAAACAATTCATTTTATGAATTATTGGATCCTCTTGTTCCTGTAGCCGATCTCCAGAAGGGCCTATTAAAAAAAACGTGTCTGGCGGTGAGAAGAAATTTCTGCTTCAAATTATCTGAAACAAAAATTTAGTACTGCAATGAATGAATACAGGTAATGATCGAAGGAATATTGAAATATTTGATTGTTGACAAAATGGCGGCTTGAAAAGTTTCTTAAGAGAAATTCTATATTTCAAAGTCTATTAAAAAATCGAAATAATACTCAGAATTTTATACCTTCGATAATTAATTGACAAAAATGTCTTTGAAGGTCGTGTAAGAATTTCAAGTCGTTTTAGAGCAAGTTTCCTCATCGACTCTGAAAACAGTATTTCAAGGAAAAAGAATTTAAAATTTGCGAACCACCAAGTTAAGCTACTCCACCTTGCGCATCGCCAATTTTCCAACGCCACGAGACGTACTTAATGAGACGTTCATTTCGCCGAGATTGTTTGTCGAATCAACCTCAGATTTTCGAAAAATATTCTCAAATATGAGTGCATTCGAAAAATTAAAAACAAAAATAGATTTTTTTAAAGTCTACTATAGCACTGCCCTGGACACAGGGACATCCAAGGCAACTGCATGGGCGGACGAACTAGCAAGGGAAGGAACCCTTCAACCCTCGATAGAGCGTGCACACGATGCTGGTTTACCTCTGTCCACGGCAAAGTACATGCTTAGACTGGCTTTTTATCAGAAAAACTGACTCAAGATGGTTGAACAAGATCACGTGTAATGTGACCAAACAGTTATGGCCGAAGCGCGACGCGAAAAAATCAAATTTTATTATCCTTCTAGATCCGTACTCTTTTAGCATAATGACGGACATTATAACTGGACAGTGTTTAATGGAGCTTCACGGAAAAGATGGGCTAACGATTTCTGCCGCAGCTGTAGGGACGAAGAAGAGGCAGAGACCCTCCATCACTATTTCTGTCACTGTCCAGCCTTGACATCAGCGCGACACAAATTTCTTGGTATGCATTTCTTCCATTGTCTCGCTGAGATAGCCTTCGCGAATATTGGAAATTTCGTTGACTTTATAAGGTACACGAAATGGTACGATCATCTGAGAAGGTGAAGACAGAAGCCTCAGCGGTATCACATTGGGCCAATCGTCCTAAGTGCACTGGGGTCCACCAGCAGCCGCATCAACTCAATTCAACTCAACCCCTTAAGTTATTTTACGTTCCGCTAGGTTGAAGCGATATTCGGAGAAAACTCGCAAAGCTTCTCAGCTTAAAAGCAGTCCACTGCTAGGCAATGTAGTCTCGCATTCAGCTTCGCTGAACTTAAGTTAATGTGTGGAGGAGAGCGAGATCGAACCATATTATTTTTTTCTCTCTTTTGCAGAAAGGCTGAAATACTTTTCTTCACACAAATTCACTAAGAATGATGTGCTTTGGGGCTTTGTGAACGGCAATAGTTGCCAATTAATTAAAAAAAAAATTAAAATTTCCTTTTATATTGGATGAGTGCATAAGTTCGTGCCCGATTCCGCTGGAGGAGATTTTAACCTCGAAGATCAACCTCGCAGTGGACGGCCTTCTGAGCTTGATGACGATGTTCTAAGGACTTTAGTTGCGAATAACTCACGTATTTCGACGGAAGAGGTTGCCAGTGAATTGAACGTCAACAAATCAACTGCGTTTCGTCGTTTAAAAAAGGTTGGGTACACTTTGAAGCTCGATACATGGGTGCCACATCAGTTGAGTGAAAAAAACAAAATGGACCGTATGTCAACAGCAAATTCTTTCAAAAACGAACCTTTTTTGGATCGGCTCGTGACTGGTGATGAAAAATGGATCCTGTACAACAATGTTCAACGCAAGAGAACATGGAAACAGGCACACGAAGGGGCGGAACCGATGTCGAAAGGTGGATTGCATCCGATGAAGGTACTGCTGTGCATTTGGTCGGATATCCGAGGCGTGATCTATTTTGAGCTCTTGCCAGCTGGAGAAACGGTCACTGCCAAAAAGTATTGTCAGCAATTGGTCGAATTGAAGAAAGCAATTGATGAAAAGCGTCCGATTTTGGCCAATCGCAAAGGAGTTCTTTTCCATCACGACGACGCCAGGCCACATGTTGCAAAACCGACCCTGGCCAAACTGAAGGAGATGAATTGGGAAATCATGCCGCATCCCCCTTATTCACCCGACATTGCACCTTCTGATTATCATTTGTTTCGATCGCTGCAGAACAATTTGAATAGAAAAAAATTTAAAAATGTGGAAGACGTCAAAAACCACCTTGACACCTTTTTCAACGAGAAACCGCTCGATTTCTATGAATGGGGCATCCGTAAATTGGTTGAACGTTGGGAGTGGATTGCCGAACATGAAGGCGAATTCATAATTGTTTAATAAAAGCGCTTTCTTCAAAAAATTTCAATTTTAGTTTGCACTTGAAATCGGGCACGAACTTATGCACTCATCCAATATTTGCTAATGTTGCTTATTTTTTGTTGCTATTTATCTTCTATTTAATTACATTCGTATTAAAATTATAGACTAAAATTCCGATTTTTCTTTTCAGAATTAAAAACCCTTTCTAATTGACAAAATGGTAAGTTTGAATGTAATTTTTTCTAAAGACTTCTTTGAGACTTGAATAGAAATCAGAAGATATCTTTTTTTTATCGAAAATTTGAAATTGTTAAAAAATAAATATGTTTGAATTAATAAATAAATATGTGTATACATATTTATGCCTCAGGTTTTATTTGAATTTTATTTCACTTTAGAGCTTTTTTGTCCTGCATTCAAATGCGACGTTTTCCTCGAGAGATGTTTTTATAAAACCACGTTTATTGAACATGCATATATATGTGTATGAATGTATATATAATATGTATATAAGTTAAATAAAAGTTCCATTGACAATTGTTGACAATACTTACCTAAATATTTATGTATATACATTGCCGCGTTAGGTGGCTTGCCACAAAAGCGCAGTGCAACGACCGCGTACAGGATTCTTAAACCACAATACTCGTGTATATGCTACGTGCAACATGAGTTGTATGTACGTGTGAAGTGTATTAGGGCTTGTCTTTTTCGAGAAAAATTTACACTGAAATACTTTAGGCTAAAAAAAAATTTTTTTCATAAGAAAAATATAATTGAAAAGGTTCATGACTCCGAGGCTTCGTCAGGCCTACCTTGAATACAATTTTGTACAACTTTCATGCACATAAAATGGTATATTTACTTTGGTCAGATATATAGTCTGTAAGAAGCGGAAGTAGAAGAGATAAATCCATCAAAATTTATACTATTCAGTCCATCTGACTCTCTTTCTGTCCCTCCGTCTATCCAACTGTTTGCACGCAAATTAGTCGCTCAGTTTTTGAGATATATCCACCAAACTTTGTACACACATGCACCGTTAAATTTACACCATCATTTTGATTCTATATCTTTTGTCATCCTTTGGGCAAGAGAATGATTCCGCGCACATACAACTATTTATTCTTTGCTGGCAAAAAAAATGTTTCAATTGGGTTTTGAAGTTCTGATTTAAGATTTAGGTTCTCCCATTCAAAAAATTTTACAGAAACTGGAAAGAGCAAGAGCCGAAAGGTGGCAAGTCTGGAGAATATGGTGGATGTGTGCAGCAAAAGCTTTTGACAAGTCATCAAACTTGTATGTGGTCTCCCAATACCCTGGTGGAGCAGTACATCTTTTACATTGCTCAATGCTGGCCTCTTCTGTTTGAGCACATTACTCAATTTGTCACGCTGTTAAAATAAACGATTCCCTTGAAGTCAGTCTCATCAGACAAATAATATAACCTTTTTGCTTTTTGGTTGATATTGGCCAAATTTGAAGTGGTCTGAGATGTTCGCTCGAGTTGTGGTTCGATGATTTACATTGAGCAACGACTTTATTTAATCCACATCGGCTTGAAGTGATCTTTCAGGATGTGGTGCATCCTGAGGATCGAAATTGTCGAAACGAAATTTGGCAGTCGAGCTTTGACAGTAGTGTTCGGCCAATACAACTTCTCCGTACATATCTCATTATGTGCGCCTTTATGGAACTGCCGTCTAAACCTTTCGATAGTAAGAGATAAAGAAAGCTTTCGTCGAGTTACGAACTATTGAGAAACTTTCTAAGAAATCATCTCTCTCTCTCAATGCTCTTTTCTAATGCTTAGTTATATGTACTATGAATGTCGTCTTCTTCTTCTTTATTGGCGTTGGCACTTCTTACGCGATTATAGCCGAATCAATTATAGCGCGACATTCATCTCATCTCTTCGCTGTTTGGTGCCAGTTGGAAATACCAAGCGATACCAGGTCGCTCTCCATCTGATTATTTCAACTTCTTCCTCTTCCTCTCTTTCCATCAGCGGATACTGTATCGTATACTTTTAAAGCTTTGCATCCATTCCATTTGGGCGACGTGAACTAGCCAGGCTTGCTGATGCCTCTTCATTCGCTGAACCACGTCAATCATCGTATAACTCGTACAGCTCATCGTTCCATGGTGTGTGGTATTCACCGTATGCGCATAGGACGATAAATCGTTCGCAAAACTTTTCTCTAGAAAACTCCTAACGCCGACTAATCAGATGTTGTCTTTGTCCATGCCTTCGCACTGTAAAGCAGGACGGGAACGATAAGAGACTTGACTTTGGTTTTCGTTCGTTGGGAGAGGACTTTACTTTCCAATTTCCCACTCAGACCACAGTAGTACTTGTTGGCAAGGGTGATGAGATTATTGTTGATGTTGCTGCTGATTCCTAGATAGACTTCAAAGTTATGACTGTCTACAGTGACGGGGAAGCCGAGTCGCGAATGCGATGTCTGTTTGTGTGACGACAGGAGATATTTCGTCTTGCCCTCATTCACTACCAGACTCATTTGCTTCGCTTCTTTATCCAGTCTGGAGAAAACAGAGTTGACGCGGCTTTTGAGGCCAACAATTCAATATTATCGGCTTATATCAGTAGCTGTACACTCTTCTAGAAGATTGTACCTTCTCTGTTCAGCACTGCAGCTCGAATTATTGTCTCCAGAAATAAGTTAAAAAAGTCACACGATAAAGAGTCACCTTGTCTGAAACCTCGTTTGGTAACGAATGGCTCGGAGAGCTCCTACCCGATACTGACGGAGCCGAAAAAGTTTTGAGGGATACCAAATTAAGACAAAGCGGCGTAAAAGCAGCTCCTTTTCGTGATGTAAAAGGCGACTTTCGAATAGACGAAGAGGTGGTGGGAGTTGTTCCTCTTTTCACGGGTCTTTTCCAAGATTTGTCACATGGTGAATATCTGTTTAATCAGTTTGTTGACGCTCGACAGTACCTTATATGCGATATTAAGGAGGCTTATCCCACGTTAAATGGCGCAGACTGTGGGGTCCCCTTTCTATGGAATTATAAATTCCAATCGTCGGGCTTGCGTTCATCCCACCATATTTTGCAAAGTACCAGATGCATGCGCCTTACCAGCACCATACCGCCAGGTTTGAATAGCTCTGCAGGTAGACCGTCAGCTCCAGCCGATTTGCTGTTCTTTAAGCGAGCAATCGGTATTCAAACCTCGACAGGGTCAGGTATTAGATCAGGTATAGATTAGGATTTCGAGTTCATCAACGGCGGTTTCGTTTTCACTGCGATTCAGCAGGCTGTAGAAGTGTCCCCTCCATAAATTCAGTAAACGTCACGAGCTCCCACCTGTGGGTCCTACAAGAGCTTACTCCGGTCTTGAAACCTTCCATCAGTCGTCGTATCTTTTCATAGAATTTTCGAGGATTTCCGCAGAAGTGTAGAATTACAGTTGTTTTTTTTTTACAAATTATTATTTTTCAAATGTATTTAAATTAAATGAACTTTCCAGCACATTTTCCCACCCAATGTAAATACAATCAGCTTTTAAATATTTAAGCTTGTAAATTCCTCTTCAAATACAACCATTCACATGTGAATAAACTCATAAGCTCCTCCATTGGTTAAACGACACAATCACAACAAAATCAACAGAAAACTGTTAAGGTGTGTGTTTTTGTGTGTGTGTGCAAGTGGAAAATGTTAAAAAACAAATAAAAACACCTGAGTGTTGGTGTTGGTAGTTGAAATTAAAATAACTGTAAAACAATATCAAATGAAAGGTGAAAAATCGCAATGGATTAAGTGAAACAATTTCCATGGTTTAGTGTGTGTATGTGTGCATAAGTATGTGCGTGCGTGCGCGTTTGTGCGTGCGTGTGAATTCTTGAATGCGTGACATATCTGCAAATATGAAATAATGAAAAGTAAATATTAAATGAAAATATAATAAAATTAAAAATAACTACAAGCAATTCGCTTAAAAAAATCATTCACTGTTTATATGTATGTGTGTGTGAATGGAAATGTTTAACAGGTGCAAATAAACTTATGTATGCATGAGTATATATGCACATATATGAATTTAAAGTGTATGGAAGATGCCCTGCGAGAAATGGAATTACATTTCTTTTAACGGTTTCTTTCTGCGATATACAACTCCCAAGACATAAGATTGGAAACTTGAAAAATCTCTCAGCAACTCGATTTTTCAAAATTCCCGAGATTGCTTTCTGCAACGAATAAATAATTAACGGTATAACTATTAATATAACGGTACAATATCTCATAACTATTGTGCTCAGTGCTGGGAAGTCTCAAATATTATAGGTCCGCATTGGCAGTCAATTTGGAAGCGCGTGTTTAGTGTTTCAGGTACTAACTATAGTCAAACGAAGAAGAAGAGGCGGAGTCTATTGAAAACTATCGCCGTCACTGTCCAACCTTGACAACTGCGCAACATAAATTCCTTGGGAAACACTTTTTATTCTTGGAAATCTCGTTGCTCTTATTAAGCACACGAAATGCTATAGTCCCAACCTAAGAGAAGGTGAAAACAGGAGCTTCACGGCGGTCTCACAAAGAGCCTGTTGTCCTAAGCGCAACGACCAGCAGCCGTATCAACTCAACTCAACTCAACGCAACAAATGGGCAGATTCAAATACTCCCAAATCACACATGGCATCCTCTTAAACTTCCTCAAAGTGTCATTTTACGCCTTTCGTTCTGGGCACACTTACTTACAAATATATAATATTACAGTAGCCAAAAACAAACAAAGAACACCCAACGAGTCAGAGCTTGCATTTAAAAAAATATATAAATTCATAAAAAATAAATTACCCAGAGACAACAGCCATGGCGCACTTGTTAAGAGATTGTTGCGATTTTCCGCTTGTTTTCAATTTATAACCACCAGCAGCATGATTTCCATCCACAACTCCACTCCGACACAAACATTATCAGCTGAAAACTCCCACCAGCCCAGTGCAGGTCGCGTGGTAAAGCGCTTTTGAAATAGCAATCGGAGAACAATGCAAAAATCATAATAATAAAAATTTACTTCAAAACCTTTTGACCCAATTAAAAAAGTGGCTCGAGCTTTGGGAACAAACCGCCGACACGCTCTGCCAACTCAGTTAAATGGCAATGCAACAATTACCATGACAGCGGCTGCATTGGTGACGGCACTGCAAGTGATTCTTGCAACAGCTACAATAAAAAACTACCTGCGTATGTATCCATGTACATACATATACATACTCGTAAATATACATGATTAACAAGGTAGTGCGAGCGAATATGGCAACTTCAGTGCTATTGTTGCCAATGTTGTTGCTGCATTGCGGCGGAGAAAAATTTAAAACAAAAGCTCTCAGTCTGGTTTTTGGTTTGCACAAAAGCGCAGCCAATGAATTTACCACTGTTAATGGGAATTATGTGAACGCACCGTCGGTTCACTTGCTCTCTTTTGTTTGAAATGCTATGATGCAGGCTGTTTGGAGTTTATTTTTATTGAAACATTGTTTTATTCACTGGCATTATTTCAATATTGTAGTTGGCTTTTTCGCAGAGAAGAAATGAAGAGATACTCCCATCGCAGGCCATATGGCGTTCAGCAGCGGTTGAAAATCTTACAAACATAACTCCTTACACTTAAATACAGAAATATGTGCAGATATTTGTATAGAAATTTCTCTGTTGCAAGAGGTGCGGAGAGTGGTGAAAATTAATTTTCGTTCTTAATTACTTAATGATTTTCTCCCCATTCAGTAAATAGAATAAAAAAAATACAAATAAAAAAATATATAGAAATAAAATAAAAAACTAATATATATTAATATAAAATAAAAAATAAATAAAATAAAATAAAATAAAATAAAATAAAATAAAATAAAATAAAATAAAATAAAATAAAATAAAATAAAATAAAATAAAATAAAATAAAATAAAATAAAATAAAATAAAATAAAATAAAATAAAATAAAATAAAATAAAATAAAATAAAATAAAATAAAATAAAATAAAATAAAATAAAATAAAATAAAATAAAATAAAATAAAATAAAATAAAATAAAATAAAATAAAATAAAATAAAATAAAATAAAATAAAATAAAATAAAATAAAATAAAATAAAATAAAATAAAATAAAATAAAATAAAATAAAATAAAATAAAATAAAATAAAATAAAATAAAATAAAATAAAATAAAATAAAATAAAATAAAATAAAATAAAATAAAATAAAATAAAATAAAATAAAATAAAATAAAATAAAATAAAATAAAATAAAATAAAATAAAATAAAATAAAATAAAATAAAATAAAATAAAATAAAATAAAATAAAATAAAATAAAATAAAATAAAATAAAATAAAATAAAATAAAATAAAATAAAATAAAATAAAATAAAATAAAATAAAATAAAATAAAATAAAATAAAATAAAATAAAATAAAATAAAATAAAATAAAATAAAATAAAATAAAATAAAATAAAATAAAATAAAATAAAATAAAATAAAATAAAATAAAATAAAATAAAATAAAATAAAATAAAATAAAATAAAATAAAATATAATAAAATAAAATAAAATTGTAATATAATTAAAAAATGATATTGAATAAAATATCTTCATCTATCTATTTCATAATTTTCAACAATAAATATCTCCGCTTCATGTAATATATAATTTATATATTAATTAAAGCAAAAGCGAATATTAAATGTTTTATTGTTATGTTCTTGGTTGTGATTTTTTGCAGCTTCTGTCATACATACATACACATTTCTTACTTTTTATTTCTTGCTTACATATTCTGCCGTTCTGCTTTTCCACTTAGCCTGCGGCAAGCTTCAAAAGTACAATTAATTAAAAAGTCAAACGAAATATCATTTACAGTTAGCTAACCTTTAATGTATTTTGTTTCACCCTCAATTTGAAAGGTAAGCAATCACAAGGTGAGGTTTCACCTCTTTAACCCCTTTACTAGCATCGAAAATGGATGGTGGCTTGCGTGTGCGGTTTGATTCACGCACAAAATCATAAAATTGTAGAGTAAATTTTGAAAAGCACACAGTAGGACTTGGCATTGAGACAGCGCTTCAAATTTATATCTGCAGCCATAACGCGTGGGTAATTAAAGCAACTTAATTTATGTGCTCTTTTGACTCAGCATGAAGCATTTTATTTATAGCAAATATCAAACACAAAAGAAGAAATATATCTTTTATACAAAAAATTAGTTCATAATAAGATACAAATTATGTAGCATATTTTTTAAATTTTTTCATTTGACCAATACACTTGAATAAAATTACTTAAATAGCATAATTTTGGGCGCTCAAGCAAGAAAAGTGCTCAATATTAGATATATTTTACTCGTATTTATATCTTACAGTTACAAAGCTGCAATTCCATTTTATAGAATTTGAAGTTTTCTGACAGATTCGCCACTCTTAGTGATTAGTCATTTATTACAGAATTGTTTTTGCTTTATATTTCTTCAGTCTAACTTTAAAACCATCCTTGGATTTGATCACTGGCGTTGGATTGTGCACAATTTGTACATCTTGATTACATAAATATTCCATATCGAAATTGTCCAGTAGTTTAACAAGTGCCAACTTCATGACCACAGTGGCGAAATTGCGAGCTAAAAAAATTATTTGAAATTATTTTTAATTAATTTGATATTATTATTATCATAGAAAATAGTGGTTTCTTAGTGCAAATTTCATATGATATACATTAATTTTGAAGCAAATAAAATAATTTGTAGATTCCTAAATATTTAATAAAATTTAATTGCAATATTTCAATGCATAATTTTTATTTTTATTTAAAAAGAAAGCAAAAAAATCACTTTGCATGCGCGTTGTATTAGTATTAAATATAATAATAAATTGTACTATTCTTTTTTTATCAGTTAAAAAGAAAACTGGTGTAGCTATTTTTTGGTATAAAAAAATTTAATATTAATAGAATATAAAAGATATAACATCCCCCAGTATTTTCTCTACCTCCACGTAAATTGTTAATTAATTTAAGCTAATTTTTACTCACCCACACAGGTTCCAGCACCCAAACCATAACCCAAAAAATTATTCAACTCCTCGCCGCTGGTCGCCTTGTAAAAACGTTCGGGTCTATAATAGTCAGGATCCTTAAAATTTCGCTCATCACGTTGTATTGCCATGACCGGCACCATTATAGTGCGACCCTCATTGATTGTTGCACGGCTATTGGGTATTTGAAAGTTCTTTTGACAAACTCGCTCCACATACGGTACACTCGGGTATTTGCGTACAGTTTCTAGGCGATTTTCGAAAATAATAATTAAGTACAAAAAATATAAAAACAAATAGTTTTCGCAAACTACCTTTAATGCATGCGTCCAAATATTCGAGGCTATCAATTTTCGCATAGGTCAATCTATTATCTTCACTCTTTGTTGCTGCACTCCGAATGTGAATCTCCTCAAGTACCTTTTTATGTATGCTCGGTGATTGTAGAATTTCATAAAGCGTTAATGTGGCAGTCGATGCAGTGGACTCGAAGCCGATATTTAGAAAACGTTCGGCGACTTTTGATAATTTCTTGATAGAGAGTAGCTTTTCGCGCTCTTTGGAGAGAAGACGCAATACAAAAAATTCAAATTATTATAATTATTACATTTTAATCAAATTAAATTTTCAAGCAGCAGCATTATTATTATTATTTTTTTTTTTAATTTAATTATAATAATTTTTGAATTAAAATAATTACTAACCAAATACATTCTCCACATGCCAATTCAATTTACTGTTATTCGTTAAATTATTGCCATTTCGAAATTTCACCAATAATTGCATTATATCCTTGCGTATTATGCCACCATCCTCCCGCCGTCCTGTGCTATCCCTGATAATGTCACGCAGCCGATAGGTGAGCGATGATTTTTTTGGCAAATGATTGAGTGTGCTGATATTGGATGCAGTAAGGTTAGAGATTTATACAAAAACATATGTATATATATACATATATATATATTTAATATATATTTAATTGAAAATAAACATGTTGTGCAACAAATTTAGTGTGCAATAATAACTAATTAATAATAATAATTTTTTATAGTAAACTAATATTGTTATGAAAACTATAAATACAAATACTTACTATGAGTTGATGCCGCGATTACGGAGCGTACTTTGTATGTACCTTTTGAAGACACTATCATTGGGTTCGAACAAGTTTGTGTCTAGACCGTACAGCAGATTGGCGAATACATTGATGACGTAGCTAAAAAAATGAAATCAAATTATTTCATAAGCTTTCGTTATTGATTTGCTCAAATAAATAGCATCTACAACAACAAACAAGAGTTTTTTTTTTTTTTTTTTTTTTTTAAGTATTGCTATGCAAGAGTCTAATTTACGCATATATTTGGAGGTAATTAAATCTATTTCAATATTAGTTACTAATAATAATCGCTCAATTTATAAAAAAAAATTAAAATTTTTTAATTTAATGTATTGTACTGTATTTTAAATTAATTTAATATACTGTTACGATTTTGCTAAATCAACCTCGATGATTTTCTGAATCCTTCGGGTACGATCTCTGGATTGTTAAATAAAACTCGCCAACTTAATTTGCAGTTTCTTTCGTTACAAAGAATTTATCTAATGTCCTTTATTTACTCAGTAATTCACCATTCAATTACAATGCACTTTACTAGCTACAATCACTTGCATAAACTTTCACAATTTACTTTACTTGAATGTAATCTTCAACGCGTTTACTTTACGACTCAAATAGTTTATTCCGCTATACTCTATGTTGTCGCAAACGAGTTCACTTTGTAACTGACTTCACTTGGCAGCTGAGTGTCGCCCTTATATAGCAGTCGCTGCTCATAGACGAAAGTGTAGAATAATCGAGTTGTTCGCTAACGAAGGTTCTCGTTTTATCTTTCTAGAATGTACTAGTTATCGGCTTCTCTCTTTCATCTGACATTCGCTTCGCGTTTTCGCAACAATACAATAATAAAATTTATTTATTCATTTTATTAAAATCATTTCTCATAAGTGGAAGTTGCCGGTGCATACGGTTCAGTTAAAGAATAAAATTATTTTTTAATATATATTTTATTTGCATTTAATTAAATATAATTTTATATGATTTATTTCAAATTTATTGATTTTAATTTGGTTTAAAATGTTTTGGTTGTATTTAATTTTTTTTAATTCAACTTAAAAAATTTCTTTTATTTTATTTAATGTAATTTAATTCAATTCAATTTAATTTCAATAAAAATTGATACAAATAATTTAATTTAATTTAGCTTAAATTAATTTCTTTTAATTTGAATGAAATTTTGTTTTGATTATTTTGATTAGTTTTATTTGAATTTAATCAATTAAAATTATTTGATTGATTATAATTTAACTTAATTTAATTAAATTTAGTTTTATTAAATTTAAGTTAATTTCATTTAATTATTGATTTTTATACTCCATCGATTTTAATTAGATTCAACGTGTTTTAGCTTAATTTAACTTTTATATATCACCGAATTCAATTACTTTATTTTCGTTTAATGTAATTTAATTTAATTTAATTTAATTTAATTTAATTTAATTTTTCACGTAAATTGATTTCATTAAATTTAGCTTAATTAAATATAGCTAATTTTAATTTTGTTTGATTTTAATTAATTTTATTAATTTATTTTCTTTTTAATTTATTGATATCAATTTGTTTTAAGATGTTTTCAATTAACTTAATTTTATTTTTATTAACTCAATTTAATTATTTTATTCTGATTTAATGTAATTTAATTTAGTTCAATTCAATTTTTATATAAATTTATATAACAATGTTATTTCGATTTAATTGAATGAAAATTAGTTTTAATCCCTTTATTTGAATAAAATTTATAATAATTTAGTGCAACGTAAATTATTAAATATTAAAATATTAATTATTAAATATTATAATAAGCTTAATTTAATTAAGTTTTAATTAAATTAAATTTAAATTAACTTCATTTAATTATCTATTTTGTGACTCTATTAGATTCAACGTGTGTTGGTTTAATTTAATTATTTTTATTTCACTTAATTTAATTACATTATTTCGGCTTAATGTTATTCAATTCAATTTAATTCTTACATAAATTTATTTAAATAAGTTAATTTAATTTGTCATAGATTTATTTATTTTAATGCGATTTAATTGAATGTAATTTATCTCCTCTATTTTAATCAATTTGTATGTATTTTTTTAAATTTAGTTTAAAACAATTTAATTTAACATTATTTGATTTCATTATAATTGGACTTAATTCAATTCAGCATATTTTAATTTACAATAGTTTCATGGAATCTAATCAATTATTTCTTATATTATTTTATTTATTTAATTAATAATTTTTGGCTTAATTTAATTAAATTTTGTTTAACTTAACTTAAATAATTTATATGATTTTATTATAATTTAATTCAATTCATTTCTTTTATATTAATTAGTTTTGATTTTTATATAAATAATCATAATTAAATTAGTTTAAATTGACTTAGTTCAATTTTTTCAATTTAAGTAGTTTAATTTAATGTTATTTTATGCAGATATTTTTATTGAAGATAAAATTATTAAGCTCAATTTCGTTTGATTTCATTTAACATGATTTTTTTTAATTCAAATTATGTGAATTTAGTTAACTTTATTTAATTTGATTTGAGATTACATTATTCAAATTATTTTATTTTTATATAATATAAATCAATTGAATTAAGTTTACATTTACATAATTTGATTTGTTTAAGTTTAATTTAATTCGATTTTATTTAATTTATTTAGAGAAAATGTATTAAATATTGATTATTTAATAAACTAAACTCAATTAATTTTTATTCAATTTAACGTGAAAAAATTAAATTAACGTGATTTAATCAAATATATTTTAAATTAGTTTCAATAATGATTAGATTATTAGATTAAATGATTAAGATAAATTTAGGGAATTAAATTTTATTTAATTATTTAAATTTCAATTTAATTTAATTAAGTTTATTTTATTTTAATTTAATTCTTACATAATTTTATATGATTTAATTTGTATTACAGTAATACATTTTATTAATATTTGAAAATTAAAATTTAAATGAACTTAACTTATTTTAATTAATTTAAATAATTAATTAGTTTGAATATTTTTTTCATATTTCTTTTAAGCTTATTTTTGTTTAATTGCTCACATTTAATTTAATTTATTAATTTTAATTTAATAGTTTATCAATAGATGTAGTTCATATTATTTTAATTTACTTTAACTTCATTTTTTTATGTTATTAAAAAGTTATATTAATCTTTCCAATTTAATTTTATTTGTTTATAATTTGTCTTAATTTAACGTTATTATTATTTTATCTTATTATTTTATTATTATTTTTTTTAAATTTTTTTTTTCATTTTTTTAGTTTTATTTATTTTAATAAAATTTTATTGTTTATTATATTTGGTTTTAAATTAATATTGATTTTATTAGTTTATTTATTTTAACTTTTTTATTTCTGTGAAATGCATGCAATTCACTTTATCATATTTGTATTCATTGACAACATGTAATTAAATTAAGTTTAAATTATTGTTTTAATTTAATTTAAGTTAATTTGATTTGCTTTAGTTAAACTTATTTTTATTTTTATTTAGTTCCACTTAACTTTATTTTAATTAATATTGACCTAATCTTACTTAAATTCAATCCGTTGACTTAGATTATTTAATTTTAATTTAGGCGTTTTCTAATTTTGCTTAGTTTGTTAATTATATTTAAGTTTTAGGTAATCTCTTTGATTTAATTCATATTTTATTTAATTCTCATATTATTTATTATGATATAATTTATATTAATTTAATGTAATTCACTTCCATTGGATTTAATTTAAAGCTATTTATTTTCGATTTTTAAACTAAATTATTATTTTTTTAACTTAATTTAAGTTATTTTATTTTGTTGTTTTTATTTCATTTCAACTGATTTAAATCATTTTACATTAAGGTGCTTTATTAAATTGATTTCAAATATTTTCAATTATTTTAATTTAATTTCATTTATCTAACTTCATTTATTTTATAAAAATAAATATAATTTTTTGAATTCATTTTTTTATTTGCAAAATTTGGTTTAATATAATTTTGATTAAATTTGATTGTTTTTAAATCAATTTAATTATTATTTAATTTGATTTAACTTATTTTTATTTTCATTAATTTTTGCTTGATTTAATTTAATTTAGTAAATAATATTTAATTCAATGAAGTTTAGTATATTTTAAATTAATTTAGTACATAATTATTATGCAATTAATTATACTTATTTAAAATAATTTAATTGTTTTTAAATCAATTTAATGATTTCTTAAATTGATTTAATTTATTTTTGTTTCCGTTCATTTTGACTTGATTTAATTTAATTTAGTTAATAATATTTAATTCAATTAAGTTTATTATATTTTAAATTAATTTAGTACATAATTATTATGCAATTAATTATACTTATTTAAAATAATTTTAATTGTTCTTAAATCAATTTAATTATTTTTTAATTTGATTTAATTTATTTTTATTTCCATACACTTTGTCTTGATTTGATTTAATTAAATTGGTTTAATTTAGTTATCGTTCAGTAGCAACAGCTGATGGTTTTACCGTTTAGCAAAATTCTCTACAAAACTTAATCGCCTTTTTTTTCCTCTCCAAGAGAGCGTTATTTACTCTCTAACTTAAACATTCGTATACCAGTGGATAGCGTATGCGTATACTGCTTTTGAATAATTTTCATATTGAAATGTTTTCGGAAACTTTTGTAACTGATTAGAGGATATTCCGTTTGCCTTTACATCTCTCAATACCTACTCAACTAACATTCATAGCCTCTTATAAATAAATAAGTACTCACGTTCTTAGCACAATCTGCATATCCAGCGCTTCATTGCCCACAATTAGTGTATTCACTTGTTTCACCATATTATCCACCACCTTCTCCACATTCCGAAACATACCCTCCACACGTTGAACATTAAAAATCGGCGCCAGCCTTTCGAGTAAATTAATTTTACGATAACCCTGCATATAATGCCAACGCTTATCATCGAAATGCAGTGGACTCTCGAGAATAAGGCGCGCCAAGGCGACATCGCGTACCAGTAATGTTGGCCGAAAGAAAAAATACACACCATATAAGGCACGCTCACCGCCGGCACTGTATGCTTCATTAATTGCGCTCACATATTGAAATTCCCGTCGATAAACCTGTTTTAGAAATTGCCAACCCAAACCGGTACGTTCCGTTGGGAAGCCTTTACGTTTCCAGTATGTGTAGATATGTCTTATGTAGAGGAAGATCACCGAATAGAAGAGGATCGGTATGAGTAGCCACATTTTCGGACATTTAGTGTAATCAGTCAGTCAGCTGTCTTGATGAATTGGCAGCTTGTGCACATTTGCCGGTGCCCGTTTACGGCTGCAGTTAATTTGTGAAGCGCGCACGATTGAGCGATCGCGACAGACCAGATCGAACTGTGGTGTCCGCTAACTAGACACAAATCTTTGACTTATGGCCTGAAGTGTGTTGCAAAGTGCAGCGTCGGAGATGGTGTAGGAACTACTGATGACGGATTTCGATTAAAGAATATATTGTCAGTTTTTTTCCGACATCTACATTATCCACAAAAAAAGCGTATGTATATAATTTTATATACGAAACTTATACGTGCATATGTATGTACTCGTATGTATTACGTATTCGTATGCACTGGCTGCCGGTCCAGCGTTGGTTCTCCGTTGATCTGTGGCCGATTAGATAACTGTGTGTGTGTGTGTTTTTTTAGTATATGTTGGGCTAGGGCATATAAAGACGAAGTGCGCAACATTCGAAATGAATAAAAAAAAATGGAAATATACATACATATTTACATACATACATACAAGTATTTAAAAATAATATGTTCAATAAACTGATAAGTGATTTTGTCAGGTTCAAACAACCAATACAAGAGTAAGCAAAATTTCTCACATACATACACACTTATTTGTTATACATACATACATATATAGAAATAGTATCCACAGCAGCGTCCATAGGTGTCACAGTCGTGGTTGACTGTCGGACAGTCATTCCAAAACAAAACCAATTATAAAGCTATGCAGACGAATTTATACGTATGTATGTATTTGTTGGCACATATATATAAACATATATATATATAAATATTCATAATATAATATATATATGTATGAGTGTATAGTATATAGGAGCGAACATCTTAAAAAAATATACATATTTCAACTGATGTGCGATTATCAGCAAATACAATTCAGAGCTGTGTTTAATCGGCTTAATAGTAGGTTAAGTAAAAAGTTCGTTCGGTTTTTATCTAAAAGATGGCGTTATTAGTTCATAGTACTAGTGTAACGTGTCGCATCATGTCATACTATACGGCGCTGAAAACATGTTTATTCGCGCTAAAAGTTTGTCTTTGACAGTTTTTCGATTGATTGACTCAGTACGTTGTGAGCGCTCGTCAAAGATGGACACCAGTAAAGAGAAAATTCGCTAAATTTTACAATTTTTCTTCGATCACGGCGAAAAAGTCGCCAAAGCGGCTGAAAAAATTAATTTAGTTTATAGGCCCGATACTGTAAACGAACGTGTAGCACAAAAGTAGTTTGCTAGGTTCCGTTCCGGTAATTTAGATGTGAAAGATGCACCAGGTATTGCTGTGTGTTTGGTGGGATTGTCAATTAATCATCTACTACGAGCTTTTCTCATCCAGAAGGGGCCATCTTTGATCAACAGAAGCCGAATTGTGTTCCATCGCCAGGCCACACACGTCTTTGGTGACGCGCCAGAAGCTCTAGCAGCTCGGTAGGAGATCCTAATGCGCCCACCGTATAGCCCGGACCTGGTACCAAGTGATTACCATATTCTCCTGTGCATGGCGAACGCGCTCAATGGTGAGAAGTTGGCCTCAAGAGAGGCCTGTGAAAATTGGATCTCTGAGTTTTTTGCTGCGTCCCTAGCGTTTTACGAGATGTGTATAATAAAGTTAGCATCTCATTGGCAACAAGTTTACGAACAAAATGGCGCACATTGGACTTAAATCGTACAAATGTACACAAAGTTATTATATTTTGAAAAATCAATAAGAAAGCTGATTGAACTTTTTACTTGACCTAACTTTAACAGCAATCCAAGCGCTTCTGTTAAACAGTGACTCAAGCCGTTAGTTGTAAGAACAACGTCTGTATGATAAAGTTGAAGGAATGAATTTCACTTATCCAGTTTTCTAAGAAATTAGGCGTTGTAAAGTAATTTCAACATTAGCATTGCTCACGAAGACGAGACCAAAAGGAAGAGAAAATAATTGTAAAATATCACTTTTTTGTGGATTTTAAAGCATTCACGCAAAGAAAATCATAAAAACTGTCGTTTAGCAACAGCGAAAGCGCAATCAGCATCGGTAGAGACTTTCCCAAGCCAACCGATCGATACCGTTTCGAGCCGTTTCAGAAAGGTTAATCTCTATACTACTACGAACAGCGTTGTATCACGTGACCTATGAAACAGTGTTGACGGTCCTAACTATGAAGTGAAGTTGTAGATGAATATTACGTATCTAGGAACCAGTGTAAAATACCTCTTTCCAACAGCTGGTACTTTGCACTGAATGGGCAATTGATAAGTAAAGTCAGCTCTCGACATAACTCCTGTCCTGCTAATATGGTGGAGTGATATCGATAACGATGGGTCATTCAGCTGTATATACACTGCGCGACAACCGATTAGCACACCCTATGCTGCTCGTCTTAGAATCTCAATATCAGGAAAACTAAAAAAGCTTTTCAAATGAATTTTTTTCCCCCTAAAAGAATATATAATTTCACACGAAAATTAATAGAAGATAGGATACTAGCTTTATCAATAACATTTTAAATTAATGTAAACAAACATAACATACAAAATTCACTATTATTTTTGCGACTGCCGATAAGCACAGTCACTTGAAAACTTAAAATAACAAAAGAAAATGGGTTCCAACTTCATCCAAATTATTTTTTTAATACTAATTTAAATATTTTTAACTTTTTTTGGAAACAAATTAATAATGTGTTGAGCCTCCACGGTTAAGTATGACTTCGCACAACCGCTGAGGTAAGGAGTCATATAATTTTTTTATGTAATTGAGTGAAACAGCCTCCCAGGACCTTTTTATTCCTGCAATGAGTGCTGCTTCAGTTGAATACTCCCTGCCGGACTCGTACACCTTTCGTGCCAGCCATCCCCAAACATTTTCTATAATGTTTAGGTCGGGAGAGTATGGCGGCCAGGTCAGCAATTCCACGTTTTGACCATCAATCCAGGACTTTACAATTCTGGCCGTGTGGATAGGTGCGTTGTCCTGCTGGAACTTTCATTTCAAAGGTCCAAAAATATCCTTGATTGCACGTAAAGCCGTATTCAGTACACCTCTGTAAGCAGTGGCATTCATACGGCTGTTAAGAAACTGCAGTTCTATAGTGCCAAAGTATATTAAAGCTCCCCACACCATGACACCACCCGCACGGCTGTGCAATCGATCTAAAGTATGCTCTTCCTTTCTGAGATCATGAAAGTAGTAGGCATAGCCGACAGGACCCTTCATCTGAAAAGACTACACGCTCCCACTCCTTAGTCCAGGTCATATTTGATCGACAGAAATTGAGTCGTCATCTTTCTAAGTTGGTTTAGAGGTGGTATTTTTTTTTTAATTTTAGATGCTTCGTATGATCAGCATTCGAAATAACTCTTTTCACAGTCCGAACGCACGCTTTAACACCAGTTTTTTCCTTTATTTTGGCGGCTGAGTCGTGGGAATTAGATACGTGTCATAGTATGATTCGCTTGTCAGCTGCTGTTATTACTGATGATGGCCGACCTTTCATGTTTTTCCCATATGTATCCTCATTGCTTAGATATGCGGTAATAACTTTACGGCTGCGCTTAATATTTTTTTGCTATTTGAAGAATAGAGAGCCCGCACTCCCTGTAAGCCTTTATTTTGCTTTTTTCAGACGCGTCCAACGGTTTTTCTTTGAACATTCTTACTTTATTTTATTGATAATTAGTCCCAATAAATAAATAATAAACTTAAGCACCCAATCAAGGCAGCTTACAAGCAAAAAGTGACATGAAAGCGAAAATGTGCTAATCAGCTGTCGCAAAAAACATGCATGCATTTTTGTCGCGCTTCAAAGAAAAAAGCAAAGCAAAATAACGGTACACTTCCAGAGCTCACAGTTATACTTAGAACGAGCGAAAATGATCCAGAATAAAAGGAAAAATAGAATGCACATGAAACATATTCAAAGAAGGGAGTTATTTCCCTTTAAACTGATAGGTTAGAGAGTGTGCTAATCGGTTGTCGCGCAGTGTATGTATACGGCGGAATTTGACATACGAGGGAGTTAACAAAAGTTTGGTAAGCTGACCAGAAAAAAAGAAAATTTTTTTTTGTAATTTTTATTCTTTTCATCTTCTCTACCATGATGTAATCAGTAGCGCCGCTAATCCTCTTTATTCCTGATTTCCAACAAATTTTTGAAAACTTTTGGTAAGCACTCTTCGGTGAATCATTTTGCTGTTACCGTCTGACCCCTTTCTAGAGGAATAGCCACCACGATTTAGATCGTGTGCAGTAAACCGACATTATTACTTCTGCTGCTGATTTTTGTCGTTCAGATTTTACGGGTGCGACTGCTCCTGTTGGGCTTCATACTACGGTCTGCAGTTTGGTTTCTGGATCGTACTTATAGAACCCAGATTCGTCACCAGTAACGACTTTGTCAAAATTATTAGACTGACCATTTTCGAATTTTTTTAACAAAATGCACTCGAAGTCTTTTCGTTCCTCATATAAAATTCGTGGTACTCATCGAGCAGTTTTCTTCGTGTATCCCAGATGATAACTGAATATTCGCGATACAGCCACGCCATTTCTAAGCAATCATTTATTGTGTCAATCGTGAGTCTTCATCAATTTTGTACTTCACCAGAGTTACAGTGGCATTATGAGTGAAAGATTTTGGTCGACCTTGTCGGGGATCGTTCTCTACGGAAAAATATCTGGTCTGTATTCTTCGAAACCACTTAAAAAAATTGTCCTTAAAGACGGTGCAATCGTTCTGTATGAAATTTGTATTAACTGTAAATTACGCCGAATTACCCGAAGAGAATCACATGGCAAATTTCTGTTTGCTTTGGCAATGGAATTTCGTCTGACCTGTTCTCAGCTGCCTTACGTTTTCTCGTCTTAATTTGAACCGATCGTTGTAAAATATGAAAGGAAGACCAAAAAAGTAATCGCTAAATATTTGGTATTTTTAGATTTAACAAAAACAAATGGAAAATCATCAACTGACCGAACTTTCGTTAATCCCCTTGTGGTTCTGAGAATGAAAAAACAATAGCTACACCAAGATGTGTGTCATGTATGGTTATTAATCTCTCAAAATTTGGGCAATCCAAAAGTATTGCATGGGATCGCTTCGTGTAAAAGTTATTGCTGGAGCTGCAGAAACTGTGAACACTAATTAACCTGCAGATCTAAATAAAAGCAAATATATATTCCAGGACCTACCTATAACTAATTTTAATGTATTGCTGCGGTAGTCGAAAGAGTAGAAGAAACCTCCGGTTAGTCTATTCCTTGCCGTTCTTTAGAACTGGGCAATCCACAAACGTCTTTACACCGTATTTTACAAAACGTTTTGGGTTTTAAGACTAATCGAATTGAGTTAACTCCAGAACTCTTTTGTGGTTTATCGGCGAAGAGTCTCGCCAAATGAATGGTCGGTGAATTTTTTTTAACATCAAGTGGCTTTTGAAAAGACCGGAACCGAAAATAATGGTCAGATTGTGCGAAGTTTGGGCTGCGCAACCCAACACCGTCAATTTATGCCAGAGGGTTAAAGATGTGTATGGTCTATAGATTATTTCTGCTCCCCTATTAACAGTGCTGCTCAGTATTGAACGTTCTCCTTGCTTGTCGGTGCTTATACTGAACAATTCCTTTCCAATTTCGCCATATACTCAGTATTACCTTGGCTTCGATGCCGATTGTGGAGCGTCACGCTCCTAAGCAGCATTTTAATTTTAATCTGGCCTGAGGCCTGAGCATGCCTTAAGATGAGTCCAACCATTGCATTGGTTGCAACTAACCGTTGTGGAGGAGTGGTGGAGTCTTTTCTGTTACACGCAGCAGAAATAATCCGTCGGACCAGGGTTGGTTTCAACGCCAGCCCTGATAAGAAGGATTTGGAGCAGCCCAGTAGCAGGATGTTGCTCCGCTGGCGAAAGTAAATTAATGTTACTTGTCGACCTAAACGGGATTCGGTCGCCGAAAGGGTGACAGCCGGATAAAATCCGGGTGAACTCCGATGCGTAGAACCGGCTCTTGTGAGAGTTGCTGCGGTTGAAATGAAAAAGATATCTATGAATCGATATAAAAATAGACTTGTTTATTTAACAAAAAAAAAAAAAAATATCTGTGTAAATATGAAATGACATTTGAGTACGTGAAAGGGATGAAAATAATAAAAGAATAGCGTACTGAGAGCTTAGCCTTGATTTAATTAATTTAATTAGTTAGTTAGCCCTTAGTACTTAAAATGTTTAGATAGTTTTTGTTTTCTTGTTGGAATCCTTAATATTCCTTGTTCCCACAAGATCAGTATTTTCTCACTTCATTAAACTCTTCTCGACAACTTCATCTGTAGACCGCCCTTAGGGACATAGGCTACGCCTGAATTGTATTGGAACTCGATTTCCTTTTTCTCTTTTGGTTCTATATTGAAATTTGCCAACATTTTGATAACGACCACTTTCGAGTTTATCACACCCATTCGTTTTGCTAGAAAATATAAAATTAAATTTATTTAGAAAAAACGTATATTTTTGTTTTTGTATTCAACTCACCAATGCAATGATGTGGACCTTCACCGAAAGGCATATATGCATCAGGATTATAACTGTGCTTCTCTTCCGTAAAACGATATGGATCAAATGTCTGTGGATCCGGGAAATAATCGGGATCATAATGCAAGCCAAGGATTGAAATGATTATGGCTGTTCCTTTCTTGATTGTGTGCTCAGAATTGGGTATTTTGAAGTCCTTCGTGCATTCACGATTCAAAAATGGTAAACCGGGATATTTACGTAGAGTTTCTGAAAGCACATAACAATACACACTTTAACATGAAAGACACAAGCCTCAACACGAACCAAATACCATTCATGCAGAGATCTATAAATTTCATATCTTGTATGGCTTCATAGGTAAGAGGATCACTGGGCTTCAGACCGTGCTTCGCCAGAACTGAGTCTACTTCCTCTACGGCTGTCTTTAAGTATTTCGGGTGTAGAGAAAGTTCGTAGAGCGTAAAGGAGGAGTTAATCGATGTGGTCTCACTACCGGCTATATAAAACAGCGCACTTTGATCGGCGATCATTTCAATCGTCATGGATTTGGTTCCATCAGTTGTTGCCCCCAATGTCCAATTATCCTCTTCGCTAATTTTTCCGGTATTACGTAGTTGTAAAAGGAGTTGCAGCAAGTCTTTACGCACAATATTGTTCTTCTCCCGGTTATTTACAGTGTGTGTAATAATATCGCGTGTCTGCTTAGTTGAGAGTGGTATAAATCCGAAGAGTTCCATAAACTTGGCAATACTTTAGTGTTAATTTAAGAATATGGAACCGTTAAAATTTTTCTATTTAGCACCTTATATTGTACATACTTATATACTTACGGTGTACAAACGAAAGACGCCATGACATATACGGTATCCAGCCAACGAGTGGGCTTGATAAATTCTTGATTCAATAGACGGAACTCGTTGTTGGGATTTTCATAGCTATTTATGTCCAGTCCGAAAAACACCGAACCAATAATATCAACTGCGTAGCTAAAAATTTAAATAAACCCAAGCATTTAAAACTCATAGCAAAACAAATGAGCACATCATACTCACGTCGTCAGCATAGCTTTCATGTCAACGCTCACTGAGCTTTTGCCTTCTAATTGACTATTCAAATGGCCCAAAAGCTTATCGCCAATATCGTTAACTGTCGGCAGCATGGCTTTTAGCTTGCCAGTGGAGAAAAGTGGTGTCAATTTGGTACGCAATGACTTCCACGCTGCACCCCGCAGTGAAAACAAATTCTTTGAGATGAGTGTGTCGGTGCCGCGATCGTGAAAGCTGCTGAAATCTTTTACTTCTATACTGCGCGCCAACTCAACATCTCGTATTAAAAGAGCCGGCTTAAATAGTAAATAAACTCCAACATAACGCGACTTAAAGCGATTGTAGATATCGTGAAAGACGAAACCGGTATCCTTTTTGCCGAGTGCCGTGTCCTTTAAAGAGCCGAAAGGGATTTCCGCTTTATCACACACCACACCATGGCGCTCCCAATAAGTATATTGTCGGCGTATTAAGTAAGTCACAGCCACAATGGCCAAAGTAATTAGTATGAACCACATTTTTCGTAAGGTTTGTTCCAATTCCACGGTTTCTTCAACTGCGTTACGGTCGCTTTGATAGTCAGAGGTGAAATGATCGCTCAGATTTAGCACATTTATATAGTTGTTTGGAAAAGGGAAACAAAGCAAAAAATAAAAATAAACATAAATAACACAAAACTCTTTAGCAAATATTTTATTTGTAATCTTGAGTGTAAGTTTAGATAAGAGGCAAAGCTGTTTATAAAATGAAACAAAATATAGCCTTTCTACATTAGAACAATTTGGAGTACAAGCGTTCTTAAACCAATAAATTGATATTTGGCGATAACAAACCATGACAATGCAATTTTTGTGAGTATTTATATAATACAAACAACGAGAAATTGATAAGAATACATTACACATTAAGTCACATAAGACATAAATTTATTTACACTAGTATCCAAAAAAAAAANAATAACATAAAATAAAATAAAATAAAATAAAATAAAATAAAAAAAGTAAAACAAAAAGAATTAAATTAATTAAAAAAGAATGAAGAAAAATAAAAGATAAAATAAATAAATTAGGATAGAATAAAATCAGGTGAATAATTTGCTAACTCTATGTGAGACTGCACCTTTTGGCCAGAGTGATTTTGCCACCAATTTGAACGTTAAATTTTATTATTATTATTGAAGTTGGCTCCAAGATATCAGAAGAAGCTGCCTACAACTTTGCATTACGAATAAGAAATTAGTATAAATGAAAAAATTGCTGATAATCGAAGTTGAAAGGGATTCTAAAATCACAAAATTATTCTATGATTTTATGAGTTCAAAGAAATACCAAGTATAATTTTCGCTCTTCTTAAAATAAAAACTTAATGTCCCATAATGGATTGCACGCGCGGTACAAGTAAAGCAACAAACAACAATCGATTTAAATTAAAGTTGACAATCGCAAACAATAACAACGTATGCAAATTGCATGTAAATTAGCACAATTCATACAGATTTTCCACACAAAAAGAAAAAAAAAGAAAAAAAAAACACGCAACAGGTAGTCATAGATTAACAAACATATATATGAATGTATGGATTTACATATGAATGTATGGATTTGTCTATAGACACGAATATCTTGCTTATTAGATATTTACATACGTGTACATACAAATGCACAAAATAAAAGGGGCAACAGAAATGCTTCATATATATGAGTATATTTACTCAAAGTTACTAAGAGTAATCACATGTGCAATCAGACTTAAAACTGGTGTTGCTTGTGGCACAACAAAGCTTGGAAAAAAATTAATGATTTTGTTGGGCAATAAATGGTAATTGCAAAATTAGCGGAATCATGTGAGAGGAAATCAGGTAAAAAATTAAAAATTTTAATAAAACATAAAAATAGACAGGAAAACGCGACAATCGAACATTTCAAAGTGGCGTCTTTTAATATTGTCTTTTGAAAATTTAGCTATCTAAAAATTAAATTTGGAAATTCTTGACAAAAACTTATTGTATACATACATATAATATTTAAAGAAAATAGGTACATATATATGCATATATAATTTTTCTTCTAACAAATTTCGGGTAATTCATTTAATAGAAAATGCCAGTTGTACTGAGCGAGACAAATGAATAATTAAACAAACAAATAAATAAATAAATAATTAAATAAATAAACAATTAAATAAATATTTAAATAAATAAATAAATAAATAAACAATTAAATAAATAATTAAATAAATAAATAAATAAATAAACAAATAAATAAATAAAAAATTAAATAAATAAATAAATAAATAAATAAATAAATAAATAAATAAATAAATAAATAAATAAATAAATAAATAAATAAGTGAATAAATAATTAACCACATTGACAGTTTGACAGCCAATGCCAATTAACACATTTCGAGCTTACTATTTAAAAATTGCAGATGTTTGCGTAAAAAGTTGACAAGTAACTAAAAAATTGTTCAAAAATAGAATTAAAAAACGCGTAAATTCAAGTCAAAAATATTTCCGATGAATTAGAATTCAGCTTTTAAAATGAGGAACTACCATTTGCCAATCCCAGAGCTAATTATCTAAATATGTACATATTTATTAAGAAGTTGTTGCTTGTAACACCATATAGTGGAGCTCAGATGCTCGGATGTTCAGGTACTCGAAAAGGTACATACTGTCCGTTTGCTCAAAAGCTGTATTGGCATGTTAGCCTAGCTTTGGCTGGAAAAGCTTTCAAATATAGTTTTGGAAAATAGTTTAACACCAACTTTTCTTCGGGAAATAAGTTTTCAAGCTACCACTAAGAAGGGCGGATAACGCGATTAGGCGGTGGAACGTATAAACATCTACACGCATCTATAAAACCGGCTGATGGCGCGGGCGCTAGAGTCTGTTGCGCTGAGCAAGCTTTAAGCTTTCAGAGTACTGCGATATTTACCAGGCGGAACCCTTCGCTATTAGGAAAGCCGTTGAGTTAGTTGGCGAAGCAGAAAACTATGTAACAAATATCAAAATAAATATGACGATAGTCAGTCGGCAATAAACTCATATCGTATTGCATCAGAAAATTTCTTTAGAAGCAGGGAAGTAGTAGGTAAACGGCTGCAAATATACTGGGTTCCAACCCACAAAGATATGACAGCCAAAAAATAATAATTGATGAGATAGCTAAAAGTGCCATACGTCTTGTTAGCGAGCCAGTGCAGGAAGTTCAAAACTCGTTAAAAATGATCTTAAAAGAAATTTCCGAAAGATCTTCGCTGCCGGATCTTAGTGAGAACTCGTATTTGATATTATTTTTCGGTACTTTGCAGTTCAAAGCACTAGATGACGCATAGAACTTTGATAATTTAAGCCTCTCTTTGAAATGCGCCAAAAGCATTGACGGCCTATGGGGGGACTACTTTAGTTCGCAATAAAACGAGTCTCCATTTGACTCAACAAGGGGGTCTTTGTAAAGCGCATCGGCTGGTGTAATCTATGCTAAGCTAACCTTATTGGGTTTGCATTTACTTTAGTTCTTCTTAGATGCAATTTTTTTTTTTGGTTTTTTTTTCTATTTTTTTAAAAACTCAAAATCTTTTTTTTTAACATTTAATACTTAATTTACACTAAATTCTGCAAAAACTTTATTTAGATTAAAATCAGGAACATTTTTTCTTCGGCGAAAAGCTTCTTAAAAATCATATTTATGTCTCGATTTGCTTGAAATTCATTTTTGCGGGTGAAATGGATCTCAAATCGTATACATGTTTCGGTTCACTTGACCTTTTTTGAATTAATAATGCCCATTTAATTCTTCTGCTTTTTTTTGGAAATGAACTAGGAATCAGATTCAATGAAATTTCAGTGTCCGACAAATTATTATTCAAAATTGCTAAAAAAAAGTGAACGAAAATTGTTTTAAAAAAATCCCTGTTTCAGAGGGTGTTCGATTTATTTATCTTATAATAAAGTGGTTACTCCGAAAGAGAGCCATTTTTTGACGCTATTAAGGGGTTACATGTATTTTTCTTCAAAAACTAAAAATTTTTAATTGTCTATTTAGTTTCTACAACATCACGAGAATATTAGCACTAAATGTTTTGGGGAGCCCAGTCTTGGGAAGGTGTGCGCTTAAAGACAGGTAGGCTCAACGCTGTAAAGATTTAGCCAGAGAGGTTTAGCAAACACATTTCATTTCGCTAACAACATAACCTGCTAACGTCTTTACATCTGTTAGTAAATTAAAATTATCTGTTAACGTCTTGACATCTGTTAGCGAGTTAAAATTATCTGTTAATGTCTTGACAGCTGTTAACGACTTAACATTGTATGCGAACGATTTTACATCTGTTAACGAGTTAAAATTATCTGTTAACGTCTTGACATCTGTTAACGAGTTAACATTATGTGTTAACGACTAAACATTATCTGCTAACGTCTTTACATTTATTAACGAATTAACATTATCTGCTAAAGCCTTTACATCTGTTAACGATTTAGCATTAACGACAGCACTTCGTTTCGAGTAGAACAAAATTATATTGATAACAGCGTTAAGGTTAATATTTCCTAATGCTTCAACCGAAACGTTAGAAATTTTTCGATAAACGTGTAATTTATCGTTACGATGCAGCCTTGGTTTAAACTAGTTTTTCTCGAAACTCTCTCTTCCACGTCGGTTATCAAATGTTCTCGCTAACTACTCAATCAATTTTAAGGAAATTTTACTCAGTCCTAGGAGATGCTATTCACTAGGAATTTAATGGGGGTTTTTATTTTTTAGTCATAAATATTTAAAAAAAAATAAAAAAATTATAGTAAACTTTGCAAAAATTTTTTTGAAAAAAAAAGATAAAAAATGTGTCAAAAATCCAATTTATGGTTTACAGTATTAACCAAATTACGATTTTTTTGTATTTTCACTTCGTATGATGTTAGCATAAGTTCTACTGTATGACGTCACAAAGGTGGAATTCTGAATATTCTCCTTTGAAAGTTCAAAAATTCTTTTCCATATTTAAAATAGTAAATAGTTTGAACGTAAAAAAAAACAAAAGGATATTCTAATAAAATATCAAAAAAAAAAAAAAAAAATAAAAATGTTGAAAATAGAAATTGAACAATTAAAAGTCAACTCAAGTCAAGTGCACAATCAAAGAGAATTGCTAATAAATATTCACAAAGCCAAGTAATTTCATCAATAAATAAATTATTGCGGTCAAATTTAAGGGCACAGAAATTGCCAAGTCACTAGATATGCCCCTGGGTATGCGATTTCTATATGAGTAAAGATATAGTGGACAGGTGGAAACAATAAACACAAAATATAATGCATACATACATACATATATACATATGTTAATGTATTTATATTTTGAATTGAAATTGAATTCTATTGAGTGTGAATCCAATAAAACTGTAAAACAATTTCAAACACACATTTAAGCGTACAGCGTGACAAAGCATTTTTTTTTAAGATTTTTAATCTTATTTCAATTGACGCCATTTTTCTGCGACAAATGAGAACTGATAATATTTCTTTTTTTTTTGTTTTGAATCCAATCATTAGAAAATTTTTTGTTTCTTTTGTCGAAAAGATTATTTCATCATTGCTTTGG